GAAGAAGAAGAAGAAGAAGAAGAAGAAGAAGAAGAAGAAGAAGAAGAAGAAGAGGAGGAGACCTTAAGTCACACCCAAGCAACAAAAGAGGGAAACTTCAGTGTTATTATCAAACTATTCAAAGCTTATCACACCGCAGGAAGTAGGTCAGCTCAGCCAGAGACATACAATTTTACATTTTACGAGTGGGGTCAGGACCCGGTGTCATTCTCTGAAAACTTTCCACAGGATCCGTTACATCACGGTGCTTCAGGTGTAGTGTCTGCATAATAGACTCTTCATCAATATTCAGGCATTTTAACACACACCTCTTCTTGCTTCCTAGCTAGGAGAATGAACCACAGAGTGAAAGATAAGGGATAGATCAGACTATGGATTACAGAGTGGGTGAGGGACACTAAAAAAGAACAAAGAGGAGTGAATAATTTTACACCTACTAAAGATAAAGAATCGCCCAGAGTATAGCAAGGTTCAGTGGAGCAATCGTAGGGTAGAGGAAGGCAACTTTTGAAGGGCATTAACTAACTGTTGTAGTAATAATATCACTTGGCATGGAGAGGGGTGAGAAGAATATTCTAACTCTCTCTCTCTCTCTCTCATAAATTTATGCGAGATACTATACATCGTTGGCATTAAGCTGTTTAATTTTAATGCACTATGTAGAAAGTAAAATTTTTCTGGAGAAAATAAAATAAACAAATGTCTATCATTCTTCTTTTTAACAATTTTACCTACATTAAAATGCATTTTTTTGGTGCTTTCTTTCATCATTTAGAATTTAAATTTCAACAAAATATTTCTTGAGCATATCTAACTTTAACCGATACCATGCGATAAAAGAAATTGCAATAAAAAAAAAAGAAATAAATACGACTTAGTACATCTGGAGAGCTGGCCAGTGACATAAATATCTTAAAATAAGAATCCTGAACTATTGGTATAGTCTATTGAGTACTGCTGTCTCTGGCTAATAGTAATAGCAAGCATCCCGATCTGGAGACAAGAATAGCGTCATGTTCTTATTGAACTTAATTTTGAAGGGGAGTAATCTAAAGTACAGTTGAAACTATCTAAGAGGGCCACCCATTGCCGAGGAGAAAAATGGCCGTATTAGACAGGTGGCTGTCTTACATAATGTCATTATATGTTTTTAAAAAAACATAAGGGAGGAAATGGGAAGTGGCTGTTTGTACAGGTTATTGCTTTACACAGGTGGCCATTAGAGCAGGTTCGACTGTATTCTGTCAAATGTCATTGATTGTTGTCAATCAACTCACATCATCTGCTGTTTGTTGCATCACCGAGCTAAGCTGAGCTAGCCCTGAAGGGGTGCAGTTTTCCTCATGAAGCAATCACAGACAACCACTATTATCATTAAAAACACTACGTACGGCATAGCCTTTTTTTCCTTGTCTTCCCTCCCCACTCAAGGCCAGTCACTGGCTTTCTTCGTTACCGGTACGCAATTCGGTCTCACATGATTTCCTTGTCTTTTTATGTCTGGCATGGCTGCAATTTCAAGTAATAAAGGAGAGTGTATGCGTGTTTGCCATGCTTCCATCCAGTTTCAAGAAAAATGAGTAATTTTTTGGGCTGATCCATTTTATATGAACAGGACGAGAACCAGGAATGATTGTGTAATTAGATGGAGTTGTTAATTTGGATCCAGCACTTATGAGTGCTAATCATAAAGGACAGTGCTTCTAAGTGAATTGCAATTTTACTCCGTATATATGCTTTTAGCTGGAGACCAACATAATGTACTACAGGGTGAGACAGGTATAAAATCCTTTTTTTGTGTGTGTGTGTGTTTTATGGTGCTCGCAACACGTAAGGTCCTATGAGCGGGCCAGACACACATTTTAACATTTTTCAGCTGGTAGGAAATTTTTAATCTTGCTCAGGTAGCGGCCGAAGCCTCCAATCGATTTTAGGACAACCAAGGGATCTTTTTAATGTGCGCAACTTGCACACGGGACCACCAAGATTTTTCGTTGAACCCAAGAAGGATAGTTGTTAGAATTTACCTACCCATAAGATCTGGGGTGTGGATGAAAGACAGCAGTGAGAAGGAGCCAAGGAGTAGCAGGAGCAAGGCTGCAGAAAGAGTCAGGAGCCCAGAGGAAGGGGCAAAGGGGGGCAGAAAGTGGAGATGAAAGCAGACAATAGTACATTGTATGATTGTTTATATAAGGAGAGGAGGTGAAAGGAGAAAATTGTAAAAAAGAAAATTTTCCTTTGCAGTCAGGTTTCGAACCCAGGATCTATTGAAAGAGAGGCAAATACCGTACCTCTAGACCACAAGAGCCCCAAAAGGATAATTTTTCAAATTCGGAAAACAATTGAGACAAATGAAACGTGCAACAGTGAAATATATTTAAGGAGAGTTTAACAAACTACGCAATGAATGTCAAGTTTTTCAGACATCCTGTTAGTTTCAGAGTACAGTCGAACCTGTGTAAGACAGAATGGCAAGGGAGCCAGAAAAAAGATTCTGTCTTTAGACGGGAATTTAGGGGGGAGATGGAGGGGGGTTTCAAAGGCCCAGCTGGTGGGACCAAGGATCGCTTCTTGTCCAGTTGGCAAGCAGTAGTCAAAACTTCACACCTCAACTGCTATCCCCTCTGATAATGACGTGCGTCAGTCTTACTTGTCCAATTACCACCAGTGCTTGCATTTCATAGGACAACTGTTCGACCTATTAAAAACAGAAACGATTGAACATCTCCTTTGCTTCCACCCATGCGGTGTAACAAGCACAGTCAACCAATGTCACCCGCACCCCACTCACTGCCATGGAACAACGATTTGAGGAAATTTTTTCTCGGCTGGCCCAATGATCAGGGTGGCAGGCATTGGCCAAACTAATTTTACACCTCTGGCTTAGAGGCTTCCCAGGAAAGTTTCTATGGTGGTTTACTACTCGAGCACTTTCATTGGCACTCGTTACATTTCACCCCACCCTACCCTGACCATCTGCATCTCCCAGGGCTCGGGGTAACATCTACCCCAAAATTGCATCACTACTCTCCTTCCTTGCCCGGTGGCATGATGTTAAGTTTAGAGCCGGCGGAACCAAACTTGCGACTTTTGTTACAAATCAGGGGTGAGAAAGCATTTTCCATCTTAGACAGGTCATAAAACCTTCGGACGCGAGCAGTTTTTTTTTCTTCGTTTCTGCATTGGACAGGTTTCCGTTTAAAACATGTTAAAGAGATATATAATCTATATCAATCGTCAATATCATCGCTCTGCTATTGCAAAGAAAATAAAAAGAGGGTGAGAAAAGACTTGCTGGTAACTTATTAAAAGTAATAAAAGGGTAGAATCTAGATCTAGATCTAGATCTAGATCCATGAAAGAAAATGAAGTGGGAAAAAAAAGAGAATGTCAAATAAAAAGCAACCAACCTCAGCACTTTGAACAGGCCACTGTATGTTAGATTTGCCGTCGTTAAATTGCCATGTTCCCAAGCAAACGGGAGAGACTTTCAGGTCAGTGCCTTTCAACAAAACACGATCCATCTTGAATAAAGATCTAATCTAGATCTACACCTTGCCACCACACGTATAAGTACAAGACTGAGACTGAGCAACAGACGAAGCCTTGCTGGTTGTGTGTATGGGGGGACCGTTCCCGGTATCGGAACCAATTGAGGTTACAAAACGACTAGATCTAAGTTGACAAAGTAGCCCTGGGAAGCAGAACGACACAGCTTGGAGAGCAGACTAGATAAGAGACACAAGTGCTGTCAGATTAACCACGACCTGAGAGCACAGTGTTATCTCTGACTAACTGCTGGATTGAAGGTCAGGAGTAGGCCAAACAAGGCCAATCCTCGAACTAGATCTACTGATGCTTACGAGGTTGGAGCGCTAGGCTAGTCTTGGTCAGCCTTGGGTGTATTCCATTCAAAGGGGGCGGGGCAAGAGAAAGTAGTGTTAAGGGGAAACTACTAGCATGAAAGGGGTATAAGGGTTGAAACTGGAGTAGCTTATCTTCCAAATTGGATATAATATTAGGAACCTCAGATTTCCAAATTAGATTAGATCTATTAGCCTAATTACAGTGACTAAGAATTAATTCTTTTGTAACACAATTCTCCCTGTTAGACAGCGTTTCCCCAATTTTATCCCCCAAGAACCTAGTGTGACTTAAGGTCTCTTCTTCTTCTTCTTCTTCTTCTTCTTCTTCTTCTTCTTCTTCTTCTTCTTCTTCTATAAAAATGATTAGGCCTATTCACTTTTTAAAAAAACTTTTTTAAATGGTAGCCTTCGTGATCTGTTTGCCATACCACGACTACATTACGACTTTGTACAGGATAATATTATAATTCTGTTTGCGTGAACGTGCTTTAGCATGTCATTATCTGATACAGCCGAGTCCAATTTAACTAAAACCTAAGGAACCGCCGGATTTCTTCGGTTTCGCCAGGTTTCCAGTTTGTTTTCTTTTTAAAGTGTTTTACGTCGCTCGGAACTGTTGTATAAGGTCATATTAAGCGGGCAGGAAACTTGGTCTCTGGACCTCCGAGACTTTTTCGCCCTTATCCGAAAAGACTATAGATCTAGACAAGCTTGACGACAGAACACGATTAGGGAGCAGGAAAGGTGAAAGAAAACCTTTTTTTTTGGCGAAGACAATTTTCTGTCGTTGTCAGGTTTTGAAATCCATTGAAATTCATGTCATTATAGAAATCACTTTGTAAAGCCAGATTTAAAAAAAAGTCATAAAAGAAAGCGTTCGTTGCTTATGTGGGTACAATTTTAAGTGATAAAAAAACCCCTAGGGACAGTTTTGAAAGTACAGGTAGGTAAAGGGTTAAAAACTGATTGAAAAATTTGTCGTAAATCTTATTTTGATCGAACTTCACTCATTTCTTTGTCTTTCGACTTATTATCATATTTCATTTAAATGATATCCCATATAAGTATAGGCTCGGAGTGCTTTACATCGAAGACATGAGTACTGAAGATAACCCTCACTTACAGGTAAACACACACACACACACACACACACACACA